GGGAAAACGTGTTTTAATAGATCAAATGGTTTAGGTATTTACTATTAAATAACGGTCGTACAAAAAAAATACAATACACTATATTAACAGAATATTGCCCAACTCTAAAGATTGTGCTAATGTGTTACACAATAAGACGTACTTTATCCGATCATATAAAATCCTGAAAACAGACTAAAATAAAAGTGTAAAACGAATTATTTAAGAATAAAATACCTAAAACTTTGTACATCGTTTTTATATACAGATATTTCTCTTTAGGTACTACAGAGAACCAGTTAAATTCTAGTTTTCTACCGAAGCTTACTTATTATATCAACATTTATCCCAAAATTTGCAAAAATTGCCAAGCAGTTTAACTATACGCCGCCGCGTTGCGCGCTGCCCCGTCAGTCGCCCTCAGGTGCATGTCAACGTCGGATGTGTGTCAAATTTTCTCCGCCTGTTCTTATTATATCCATACTAATTTACAGCACCCAAACCACACCTAAAGTCTAGGCTTGCGTTGAAATACCTCGTGTTAAAAATTTAAATTTCAAGAACATGACAGAAATCCATTTACAGTGAGTCTGTACTATTCGTGCCTTAATTAAATTAACAACCTTATCAAAAAATATTTTTAAGTCGATTTACGGCATAACTTCATTTCGTTAAATTGTCAATTAAGGTCACTTTCATTCGAAAGATGCGACGTGTATTGTTATTGCGTCATAAATAACTTTGTGAAAAGTTATAACGGCGCCTCATTAAGCTTACCACCAAGTAACACCTAATTGTGTGAAATTACTAATATTCTAAAAATGTAATCTATAAACTGGTTGTAAAGTGAAGCAAATGAAAACAGGAAAAATACTTTAGTATTAATTAGGACAATGAAAGACGACAAGTACACATGATTAGTTGAAAGAAGTAAAACAATAAAATCACCGTGGTTAACATAGATATATAGATAGATAAACACTTTATTCACTAGTATGACACAAACACAGATTGAATACAATATAAATACAAAGTAAAACAATTTTGTCATAGTAGTAGTCAAATTACGAAAATAAATGTGAAGACTTGTGTGTTAAATTGTACATTAACCGAACTGAAGCGTTAATTATTTGCGCTCTTTGTTTACACCCTCCAACACAAATTGAAATTTTAAATCATTTTCTAAATAACGTCTACTATGCTATGGAATCTAATAGGAGTGTTTTAATTTGTGGGGACTTCAATTTGAGTAATTTGACTTGGTCTGTCTTTAAAAGTATCCAGGAACGCATATAATTGTAATAACAACTCATTTTTAATTATTTTATCTCTAAATGGACTTAACCAATATAACCACGTAGTAAACCACCTAAATAACAAATTTTAGATCTTGTTTTATCATCGGAGTCTATCTTGGACTTGCATACTTCTCTCACTCTGGCACCTCCATCGTCAATATCCACAGCCATCACCCACCCCTGGAGTTTTTTATTCAACTCCAACATTTTAATAGTAAAAAAGTACTAACTGCCTCCGTGGCCGAACGGTTACCATGCCGGACTGCCACGCAGAGGTCTCAGGTTCGATTCCCGGGCCGAGAGAAGTAATTGTATGGCCTACAATTGTTTCTCTCGTGAGTTTGGGCGTAATTTGTGGTTGTCTATGTGTGTGTCCATGGCACCCGCGACACAGGGTTTCCCTAGTGCGGGGCTATGTTGAGTGTGTGCGTTATTTATAAACAACAAAAAAAAAAAAAAATTAACGCGAAAAGACTCATCTTTTTTTAAGGGTGTCAATCAAGGGTGATAAGAAAGTAAAAATAAACAGAAACCCTCACTTCATAATATGTGAGTTTGAGAAAGCAAGGCATCGATATGTCAGAGAGGGTTAGGTGAGCTCAAGCAGAAATTCTCTATGGAATCTATGGATTAGTTAATACTAATTAGTAATGAATGATCATTCAGCTCATTCGAATATGAAAATTAGTAGGTTACTAATTTGTCATTCGAATGACAGGATTAGTAATTACTAACGAGTTAATTTTCGAAATCATTCGCAATCGCGTACCGCTAGAACCAAGATCTTACTTTAGTATATTAAGATAATTAGGGTAACTCCATACAAATATAGCTGCGCGGCATTTGGACCCTTGGACCCTTTTGACGTGCTTTTTTATTTATTTTATTAATTTCATTTTATTTATTCTAGTTTTATTAATTATTTTATTAAAATTAACTCGACTTTATTTCTTTTTAAATTTAAAAAAAAGAAAAAGAAAGAAATTACGTTTATTTGTTTACCACAATGACACCACAAAGAAAAAAAATGAAAACGAAACAAAATAAAACATGATCAAAACATTCAACGTAAAACATAAATAAATAATTACGAAACAATAACAACAAACAAAGCAAAAAAGAAAAGTGTATATTAAAAAATTTGATTAAATTAAAATTCGAACTATGTATTCACACAAGTAATAAAAAAAACACTAAATATATAAAATGTATGTATTTTTCTTGTCAAAGCCTAATTGCCTATTTCTTTTACTTTATTAAAATATATCTTAAAGTTCAAATTCTTTTTATTATCTAAAATCAGCCTAGTCACGCTTTTATCATCAAAATACTTTCAAACTGCCTAAATGTGACTATGGGTTATTTGGCCCCAAGTTATTATTTCTGAATTGCTACGGTCACGATGACGAAATTGATTACGTCACTCCGGAATAAGAAGCTTAGCGTGGTGAGAAGGTTTGTAAAGCCTTCCTTGTCAACACAAGTAACAACTATACCTACTTTATTATAGGCACCGGTAACTACAGTATTAAAAGTAGCCATTTACTCCAGAGATCCCCAAACTTTATTGATTTTTCTGTTTTGGGTAGACCCCCTATCTAATATTGCTTTTTTTTTACAAATGTATCAAGTCTGTTTTTGACACTGCAGAGAAAAAAACTAAATCTCGCTCCATATCTTCAAAAAAAAAATAGGTTTTAAGAATGTTTACTTATTTCATAGGTCATTTATAAGATATAAGAAGGTATTTTGTATGTATATAGGTACTATCTGTGTATTATTTCAGTTAAAGCAACCAACATTTTGATCACGACTTGCCGAAATGGAATCCTCTTCTGCTGATCGCTGATGACCCCTGAATAAATCAAATACTTTGGGAGCTATCGACCTATATTATAAAACAAATATTACAAGATTTAGGTCCTCCCAAGGCCTACAATGTTTGCAAGTAATAAATGCCATCCAATCCTTCTTAAAGGTAAAGAAAAGGAAGCGGAATAAATACCGGATTCTTCAACTAATAATGCAGTGAAAAATACAAGGAAAGCGTAGACGTGTCAGAAGGAAAACCTCTTGGTTGAAGAATCTGAGATACTGGTTCCACCTTAGCACACGTTCCCTCTTTCGTGCGGCAACTTCAAAAATGAGAATAGCCTTGATGGTCGCCAACCTTCGTAGAGAAGCGGCACACTAAGAGAAGAATCCTTCTTATTTTGTTGTAACAACGATATTTATTGTTTGAATCCTATTAACTTTCGGTATATTCGGAAAAGTTCGTCATCGTCAATATTTATTAAACCATTGCAACCTGAGCTCTCTTACGTTACTTAGCACAATTATGATAACCGGATATTATCGTCTTAAGAACGTGTATAATATACGTAATTCCTCTTAACACACCAAAAGGTCAAGTTATGTTTTTCGCGCTACAAACACAACACACACGCGTTTACTGCCTACTCTTGGGATAAATTTGTTTGCACAGAGATTTAGTTACATTAATCCCACAGACAATATATAGCAATAATATATAGCATAAGCAGAGATTTTTTTTTAGGGACATTTTGTAGTCGACCGCTGATGACCTTGACTGCGCCATTGGAAAAGTAAAGGGCGAGCTGAAAGCTCATAACCCCATAAACTAAAAACAAAGTAGCCTGCCTGAAGGCGCCCAAGTAGGCATGCACCTCGGCTCAGGGCGCTACTGGAGACTTTCGCCAGTATGGCGTGCTATAGGTGTGAATCTATCAGTGTACGTGCTAAGCCGGATTAACATAAATAACAGACGTTCAACGTTCAAGCATCACGTATCGTGGGGCACCAGGTCCACCGCCCTGATAAAATCGATAACTTTTTTGTTTTATTTGTACAAAAAAAAAATACTAACATTATTTTTTGGAGCAACATCAGTCAAAAAAAGGTCAGGTTAGGGCGGGCCTTCGAAAAGTGCCTTGAGTTAATAAATAACGCAATAAATAAGTTTAATTGAAAACGGGCTCAGTTCGCTGGTTCATAACAGTACAGTGCCCTTCGTATTTTTGCGATTTAGCATAGGCAAGGGCTATACCGATATTCTCGAAAAATGCTAGTCAAATATTTGATCTATGATATTTTGTCACCCAAACATATACCTTTACAGCTACCACCCCGGCTAGACATGTCGCTATTCAAGTATTAAAATTTTATAATGAATTCAATTATTTTTATGTGAAATTACTCCACTAGTTTGTTATATGGGTGACGAAATATCATAGATTTCTTATGGATGGCGCTACGGCTAAAAAGTCGTTGAAAAACCAAATAAAAAGATACGACTCAAGCACATAGAAAAATTCGTGAGGTCCACTGGTTCGTTCCGTGGCTTAGTTAATATAGCGTCTAGTACGGTATGCTAGAAGATGTCGATTCGAATCTGGACGGATCGAAGAAATTTTTCTGAGTTTCTTTGTATTAATAATTATTGCAAATATTTGATGCTCGATACACTGCACCATTATTATAGAAAATTTTTTATTGCCTTTTCAGTTATTATAGGCAGCAGTTGTTGTTAAAAGACCCATACTCGAAGAAGACTCGTATAACACATCTCGCCATTGCAAATTTTTCTTAAGAAACAGAAGAAAAAGTCCATCACATATTTAGAATACTTGAGGCACTCATGAAACTTAACGCATCACTGCTTAAAGGAAAATGTGTAGACAATTTTTACAAAAGATGTCTTACCATTATGAAGAAAAGATCCTTTGAGACTTGGCTGTTTTCTCGCCCTGAAAAGAAAATATTTTCTTTGAGAATTATTTTTAATGTAGCAAATGATTTGTTTGTTATTAACTCTGTGAATATAATGTAACAGCGTTGTCATCAAAAACAATGTATACATCAAGAGATGAAATAGCTATATCGGAAATTAAATTTGCAAACAAAAAATACTATACATTATATAAGCAACGACGAATTTAAATTGTAGCTATTTTTACCCTCGATGCAAAGAGGGGAGTTATAAGTTTGAAGCCTTCTATCAGTCTCTGGCATCGTAGATCTCATTCGGGTGGACTGATCTTAAATCCTGCGAACTAAGGTGGACAACCCCGGAACACTCAACAACGTCGATCTGTTTGTACCAAATAGGTCTGTCGGCCGACGCCGACATAAGCTGTTTGCATCCCCCGTGCGAGACACTTGCCGTGCTGACATCGCGCAACAAAACGTAGCCTCACGTTGCTAAATTCTCTGGTCGCTGAGATCCAGGATGCCGATATCATTTACAACAGCATTAGCAAACTAATTTGTAAATCAAACCTAGTTTGTCAAATGCTTAGAAAAAAAAGAGCTTAAACAAAACCTTTGGGTCATTTGAAGAAAGAAAAAAGAATTGATAGACAACTTAACGGGACAACACACGAGTCGTAAACTTACAAGCCCGCGAATTTTCAAAATCATGACCAAGTAACGTATATTATTTACATTATATCCAATTCAATTATTGTATATGTCAATCTCCAATAGGGGATAGGGGAGAGTGGAAGAAAAATACATGTTGTGCCGACCCCACCTAGTGTGGGATAAGGACAGGAAGAAGAAGAATCTCCAATAATTTTATTATTTTACACTCTGTTTGTCTACATGTACATAATTCAGTCAATCTCTAGTAACTCAGTAATGAATATTTTGTGCCACTGTTCTGATGTCATCGTATCTGTAGCGGACGCTTATGAATGTGGAATGGATGGTCAAGTGGAGTAAGCAAGACAGAGAAGAAATTAGCATGTAAGCGTTTTTTTTAATTTTTATTGAATTGATATTCAATTTTTTTTTTGTGAAATTATTCCACTACTTTGTTATAATTATTAATACAAAGATCGAACATTTTAATACAAAAAATTCCTTCGATCCGGCCGGATTTGTACCGACGTCTTCTAGCTTACCGTGCCAGACGCTATACCAACTACGCCACGGAACGAACCAGTGGACCTCACGAATTTTTCTATGTGCTTGCTTCGTATCTTTGTATTTGCTTTTTTCAACGACTTTTTAGTCGTAGAGCCATCTATGAGAAATCTATGAAAGTTTTATCGTTTTAAGCATTTTGTCATTGTGTTTTATAAATAAATAAAGCGGTTTTATTTACTTGGACGCCAATTTAATCAGAATGGTACGTAGTTATATTTGATGAGATGTTCACATGAGATTCAGCTGTTTAAAGATCGTCAATTCTTTGAATGAATATTTTTTTTTAAATCACAGGATTGTTATTAAGTTATGACTTGTTATTATTACACGATCTATGGTCAATAGTAGTCAACCCAGTGGCTGTTGACTACTTGAATAACCTTTTCATTACAAAAAACCGACCTCAACAGTTCGTGAATTTAAAGCACACACTCAACTTTCAAATTACACCCAAACTCACGAGAGAAATAATTGTAGGCCATACAAATGTTTCTACCGGCCCGGGAATCGAACCTGGGACCTCTGCGTGGCAGCGGTGACCATTCCGGCCACGGAGACAGTTATATACTATACATTACAACTATTTGCCAAATTTTATTGCAATCGGTTACCGGGAAAGTGCGCGAAACCGGATTCATCCAGAAATTTCAACGCGCTCATTGCGACCGCGCGGTTGCTTTATTCAGAGGAATTTAAATGTTGTTGCCTAATAAATAGAATTCGATTCGCCATTAATGTACATGGGCGGTCGCCGCGCGGCGGCCGCGTGGAAAATTTCTCCTCGTGCAACGGGGCGCTTAAAGGTGGTATATTTTCTTCAAATTTTAATTGGACCAACACTGAGATTTCACCAAAAAATAGTCATCAAAATCGGTTCACGTAACAAACAAACGAAACGACGAGTTATCGCGTGGAATTGAGAACCTCCAAGTTTTTTTTAAGTCTGTTAAAAATATATATTTCTTTAGGGAACAACCACGAATCTTAAAATCCATACACATAATTGATTGGAGTCAAGAGCTATCTATTGTAGGCACCCGAAACTGATCAATAAAATGGTAAAAACAAACTACGTTTAAAAGCCAGATATCCATTGCGCAACTAGGTTTATAGGGTCATTCCCCAGCTCAAACGTTTTGTGCAAGATTAGTGTTAATGACCGATTTAATGGTACTCATTTAGAAACTAGGACTAAATTTACGTACGATTGGTTTTACTCAACAACTGTTATTACTCTTTATTAACTATTTTACTATTACGCCTTTGAAAGAAATTAAGTCAACTGTAAATTTTTAACCGCAAAAGTAAACTAGATTTATGATCCCGACGCAAAAAAGAGAGTTATAAAATTGAAGCCTTTGTCTGTGTAATTGTGTGTCTGTCTGTGGTATCTTACAGTGCGTACAGATCTGGCGAATATGCCACGAACGCGCTGCATGCTGCGCGCGCGCTGCTCGCATACTGCATGCGCGCTGCACGCGTGCTGCATGCGTGCAATTAAATACATTAATGTATGTGGCGCGCGATCGCACTACGTAATGCTTCTTCATCAGACCTGTACGCACCCGTAATTTTCAAACGGGCTGGGATCTTAGTGTAAGTTTTCAAACATATAAACTGAACTATCGCGTTTGCGTTAAGATTTTAATTCAAACCTTATAAATGTATATTAAGATCTAAATAAAAATTTTAACGCAAACGCGGTAGTTAAATCTGAATGATTACAAATTTACACTCAAGCCTCTGATCTTAAAGCGTTATTTTATATTTGATGGCTAATTTAATCGAGATGGTTTTAGCTATGTTGTCAATTGAACATATGTTCAGCTCTTGCTGCTGTTAGCGTAGTGATTCCTGCCATAAAATAATTATTATAACTTCCACTTACCCGATTGACTTGAAATTTACGGAGCAGTTAATAATAATACTAAATAATAAAGAGCTTTATTTATCCACATTTGCATAACAATTTAGTCTTAAATAACATAATCTATAGTTACAAACATTGTTTCATACAAATTATAAAAATTATTATCAAATATGAGTTATGTCACGCTGCACACGGGAGAATTTCAACAAGATTTTTCTGACGATATTCAATAGCAAATTGATTGAAAACAGTTCCTACCAAATCAGTCAATTGTTGTTATGTGAAACGATAACGGAAGAAACAAATTTCATTAATATTTTTACAATCAACTTGTTATTAAATATCGTTAGACAATCATGTTACAATTATCCCGTGTGCAGCCCGATATAACTGTTACCTCATGCACCGCCTCGGTTAAGTGGTAGGTCCGTAGTGTACTATGGAAATCCGAAGACATAACAATAATATGACATTTTTTGATCATTGATGATAATTTTGATGATGGTCGCCAACCTTCGTAGAGAAGCACACTAAAAAGTTGTTTGCTTACGGATGAGAACTTTATTGATACAATAGAGTGTTTTGTACATATTTTTTTAAATTTTCATTTAAGTTTTTTTTATAACATCAAGTGACGAGACAAACCAGTCGCGTGGCTGATGGTAATTGTAATTCTTGTAGTCAAATCGTATTATTAACTTTAATTCTTGTATGTTCACAATGTATTATTAATTTTAATTATAGTTTAAAAGGCTTTTCATTTTAAATGTAACGTGTCTACCAATGCAAATAAAGAAATAAGCTATAGGACTGCCCATATCAATTACAGTGCCACTCAGAGCTTAGAGCTAGAGAGAAATGTTCAATCAGACATTCGTGCGAAGGTGTTTAAATGTATATTGTGTATTGTGTATTGTATTGCAAAGACTAGTGTGTGTTGCATAGTACTTATTTACTTGTGTGAAGAAATATCTATATCACAGTGTAATTTCCTGGAGTTTCGTAGTCACTCTTGTTAGAAGAAGTCTAGTGTTAAATCAGTTTCACGGTCTCCAAAGAACAATACTATTTTCTAAAGTCTAAGCCTCGGCCCATATTGCCCGTCGGATTGTTCTTGTTTTTTACCGACTTCAAAAAAGGAGGGGGTTTTCAATTCGACTGTATGTTTTTTATTGCATGTATGTTACGCGATAACTCCGGTATTTGTGAACCGATTTTGATGATTCTTTTTTGTTGGAAAGAGGGTAGTGATATATTGACCCAGACTCCATAGTGACCCCATTTAATTTGAAGAAAATCATCCACGTCTAAGGTGGTTGTTCTCGCATGAAGATTCATTTTTATAAATAGCGCCTAAATTTTGTTATAAGGAGTTTATTTTAATGGTTGATTTTGCTATTCTCCAATACAAGGCGTTATTCTCTATCAATATACTTTGAGTAGTGAGAACCGATTTTTATAATCTCCTGTGTCAAGTTCCGTATAGTGGCGAACTAGGGGATGAATCCGGGTTTGCACACTTTCCGATAACCGAATTCAATAAAACTTGACAAATAGATGTAATTCTTGTACTTTTGACGTCGGCTTTTTTATTACTCTGTACTAAGATTATTATGATACCAAGTGACAAGAAGTCGTAAGACAGATGCAGATTTAAATCGCAAAGATCTGAGGCCATCTGCCACTGCGTCCGTCACCCTGACATACACGAGCACGTAGAAAATTCCTACTACGTCATATTGATTAAACTCTACTGATCATTCGTATGGCAGGCACCCCTGAGAAGAATGAGCAAGAGACTCTTGGGGTTGCTCTTTGTAAATAAACATTTGTACATAATATTTATCATTTATAATGTTTGTTTCAAAGGTCTCAGCTCGAGAATACCTGCAAGAGCTAAACAGTTCACTGCCACGGATTTTTGTCATCAAAGTACACAGGAGCTGT